CAACAAAACGATAAAGAACTGGATGTATAAAGAATTTAGCGTACAGGGTAACTACAAGTGGCTAGAATTACTTCCTAAATTGATTAAAAAGTACAATTTTAGGGTGCACAGATCGATAGGTATGAAACCAAAAGACGTCACCAAACAAAATGAACAGTTTTTGGTAAAAAAGCTGAATATGTCTAAGGTTAGTAGTGTCGCTCGAGAAAGTGAGGATTTCAAAATATAAAACGTTGTTTGAAAAAGGCTACACTCCAAATTGGAGTACCGAGCTTTTTAAAGTCGTTCGTGTACGTCAGTCATCTCCCCCTGTATACTACTTACAAGACGAAGAAGGAACTGATATAAAGGGTGCATTTTACGAGCCTGAACTTCAAAAAACTAACTATCCTGACACATTTCTTATTGAAAAAGTACTCGGACGTAAAGGAAACAAAATATACGTAAAATGGTTGGGATTTCCATCTCGGTTCAACTCTTGGGTATAGTAAAAACGAGCTATACAAACTAACTAGAACGTCTGACGGGATCAAGATTTATGTCAAACGCCTTGGTTTTCCCTTAGTGGGTTTAAATAGGCTAATATCATGTTCGTTTCACCATTCTGGTTTGGACATTGTTATGATAAACATATATTGTACAAGCTATGATTAGAAGACACGTTATAGACAAGTTTGGACACTCTTTGTATCAAGAACAGAAGCGTCACTTATCTGATGATGAAGACGACGATGCATATGTGTTGAGTGATGATGGAACCAAGAGGTTCAGAGCTGCAGTGGATCCTAATGTATCACGTCAAAAAGTGTCTAAAGGTTATCTAAATCGTTTCTATGTGAACAAAGACGATTTGAAAGAGGTAGAAGGAAAGTTAAAGACATTTGCTGTTAGCCTCGAAGAGCTCCATCAAGCAGTTAAGGATGTAAAAAATCAATAGTCTCCATAGAGGAATCTATTAAGACCGACCTAAACGACATAAAGGAAAAACAGGTATCCTATCACGATATACTAAACAACTTACAAGAATCGGATAAGAAATTATCTAAATTAATTACAGCGTTGGATGATAAGCTCAAGACGCTACAAGACTCGGATGAAAAAACGTCTACATCTTTAGTATCTTTGGATGATAAGCTCAAGAAGCTGAAAGACTCAGATGAGAAAACATCTACACGTTTGATTGGAAAAAAAAATCAAAAAGCTACATGAATCAGACGAGAAAACTTCTGCATCGTTAGTATCTTTGGATAATAAGCTCAAGAAGCTACATCACTCGGATGAAAAAACGTCTGCATCTTAAGTATCTTTGGATAAAAAAAATCAAAAAGCTACATGAATCAGATGGGAAAACATCTGAATCGTTGGTATCTTTAGATGAAGAGATAAAGAAACTGCAAGAATCAGATGAAAAAACATCAAAATTATTAGTAACCTATGATAGAAGGATAAACTTGTTAGATGAATCAGATACCAAAACTTTAAAATTTCTTACATCTATTGATGCAAAGCTTACTGTATTACTAACGACAACAGGATTATCGTCCTCTTAAAATATCCGCGCGCGCGCGCGACCTGTCTAGACTTGTTTTCAGTTCAATGGATTTGTCCTTGACGCTCGCCATCTGCCTCGCCAGGTTGACGACCGTACCTGTCCAGACCTGTATGAGCACTGCGTATAAAACCTAGAACTGGTTTGCTGGTTTAGTCAGTATGGAAGCGTCAGTGAAACGGTCGGCACCAGTTCCGCGTAAAGATCTTTCGCGAGTGAAACGTAAACGCACTAAACCTCCTCCTCCTCCAGCGCATAATGTTATATACTCTGATGTAAATACTATGGACATTGATCAGCTTCTTGCATCTTTAACTGGTGAGACTCTACAAGACGAATCTGATTCCGGACATACGACATCAGGTGCGGTCCAAGCAAATTACTATACCCGCGAGTGTTCAACAGTTTGCAGTCAAAATGGTAACGCAGTGGAAGAGGACAAGAATTATGTTTCAAAGGAAGTGGAAGAATACCGGCCGGAACAACCGTCAATTCTGCATCAGAAAACTCCAGTCAACTCGTCAACAACAAAATCTGCTACACGCGCTAGGTCGAGCCAGGGTTTACGCCAGAAAGCTCATCAAGACAATCTACATGCCTTGCCATCACCACAACTGCTGCTACCGCCGCCGCCGCCACCACCTCAACGTTCGCAACAACTATTACAGAATACGTCAGCATCTAAGTTATCTCCATTGCCACCCTCTACGTCGACTTCGTCTCCAGTGTCATATACGTCTTCTTCGTCAACACCGACAACATCTGTGGTGAGTCACTCTCATAGTATACACCAGCCACACAAAGCAGCTGTGCGTTCTGATCAGCAGCCTAACTCATGGGAACCACATCTTTTACTTAGACAGATTTATAAAGTTGCAAACCAAGCTCATGCTGCTGTTGGTCTTGATTCAATTAAAGACTTTTCTCCTTCTATTTGTTTGGTAAATAATCAAACCTCAATTGAATTGACATTTGAAGATCTTTTGAGTCTGCAAAGCTCTACAGTTCACCACTCTATCAACAAGTTTTACTCCGATGAAACCCCATTCAATCCGTTCTATCTACATACAGTCATATTGGAACCAAGACCAAATGGATTAGTATCATTTTGTAACTATCGTCTGAGAAACAAACCGGTTAATCACAATTTGAATTCTGTTACACTTTCAAGACCTTCAAATGAATCTGACATCATTCGACAGACTCCCAGAGTGGTTCTTCAAAATGATGGATGGATCTCTTTCAAACGTTTGTTCCCATCCCTTGAGAGCTACTTTAATATCCTACTTGAAATAAACCCAATTGTGCAGTTTCTGATCTCTCGTTACACACGGTATTTTACCAAACACTATAAGGTAATGGCTCTACTTTCTTCAAACACTACAAATGACTTGGCTTCAATGTCATTGGACAAACAACTCGTTCGCCACATTACAAGTGATTTGCCACAATTACTTTCTGACTTGAATGAAAGAAGGTTGCCTGCAGAGTCTCAAGATTTTTGGTATGAACGGACGGCACTTAGAACATCGATGTTGCCGTGGATTGATAGTGAGGTTCGACGATTTTGTGTAGCAAACATTATAGAGGCTGTATTAGAGAACATGAAGTATTTGTCAAAATGGTAAATACAAAATTGCTGTATTTAATGTATCTTATTGTAATATATATTTTTACTGTAAACTTTTGTTTCTTTATTTATCTCCTTTACCTTTAGCTAAGGTACAACAACAATATAATAGATGTCAATTTACTTGATGAGTCAGGGATACAAGTGGTTATAAGACATGAGGTATTGCAAATCACTCATTGACAAAGCTCTATCACTTTACTTGAACACTCAGCTAGTGGTATCAAGATCTTATTATTTAAGTGTGTAACAATCACACAAGACGCATATGTTGTACTGTCAAGACCAACTAACGAAGAAAGGTGTATTAAAACACAAGAGAATTATATTCTTTTTTTTTATTTGAAATATTAAATTAAATTTTAGATGTATATTTACATAGTTTATATACAGTTGACAGAATCATCAGTTCAACATTTAAAATACAGTTGTAATATTCAACACAAGATAATGAAACAGAAAAAGTTTAAAAACAATGACTGAACGATCACAATTATAGAGTATGTTTGTCACTAAAACCATAGTTTAAACACATGAAGTAATATAAATGTTCTAGTTATTCCGTTTCATTTTATACATACAGTATACAAAGAAAACAAAGTTGACAAAATCAAAAGTTTAACATTTAGAACATAGTTACAATATTCAATAAAACACTAGATAATAAGAACAAGAAAGTTTTAAAAGATTTACGAAAAAACACTAGTCTGGAGTATGTTTTGATATTAAATAGCCATAGTTAACACAAGACATATAAAGTAAGTTATTCTAGTTAATCCGTTTAATTTTTTTTACATACAGTATGGCAAAATCAAAAGTTCAACATTTAAAACATAGTTACGATATCCAATAAAAAATACTAGACAATAAGAACAAGAAAAGATTCGCAAAACAATCACTAGTCTGGAGTATGTTTGACTCTAAATAATCATAGTTTACACAAAGCACATGAAAAAGTTCAAATATTCTAGTTAATCCGTTATATTTTATACATACACAAAGAAAACAAAGTTGACAGAGTTCAGCATTTAAAACATACAATATTCAAGTTAATCCGTTGTATTCTTTAAAAAAATACTTGGAAAACAAAATAAATTACAGAAAGTTAAAACCCTGGGAGAAGACAAACCTCGATCCTCAGAGTGTCAAACGTGAACATGAATCTAATAAGGTCTGTAAATTTCAACTCGCTCGAAAGAGTCGACAATTGATTCGTCACTATCACTGTCGTTGTCCCAGTCGTGTTCATGGGTATGTTCTGTACATGAATCCAAACTGTACAACTGGAACAACGGTGATAGGACGCAAAAATCGCACCAACTGCTTTCTTGCCTTAGAATAATTCTTACGAACCCACTGGGATCGACACCAAAGTGATGTACTGTACTAAAGAATCGCCAATTCAAGGACTGCCAGTGCTCTTCATAGTCGTCAAATGGATCAGAGGGTTCACAGGTTTTTGTAAAACACCCTTTGCATAAACGGTACGTACTGTTGTTACCTATAACAAGCTCGTAGTATTCAAAATATACATGGGCTTTATCTGAATACGATGGCCAAAACTCTGGGTGAACCCTACTGTGATGATGGGTCACCATAAGAAACTCATACTTGTCTAGTTGGTTAAAATTCAAGTATCGGTATTCAAATTGTCTGCGACTAAATGGAAGACAGTATCTCTCGGACATCCAAATGTGTTTGAGTCTCTTACAAACATCGCGTTTTATTGAATTTGGCAGTATCGATAGTATTTCTAATTCATCGAGACTATCAATATTATTTGTACTATCTATAGCTAGAAAAGTAGACGTAAGAGCTAAATCATATAATGTCATTGTCATTGTTTTCATTGCTGTCCTCCTCAGCGGTAGGTTCTTCTGCGATGGTCCTAAGTTTATAATGCCCATAGGGCATCGTATTGATTCGGTCATTGTTGATTACTCTCTTGTCGTCGGCAGCAGACAGAGATCGTTTCACTACTGTTTTGGTTGTTATCCTAAATAGCCGGCTTTGTATCTGGTTAAATTCTGCTTTCTCAGGCTCCGTGCCGTCAAACAGTGTCCTCTTGTAGTCTTCGAACGTGAGGTTATGTTTCACATATGAAGACTTTATACCTTTCGCTTTCATAGAAGTGAACTTTACTTCTTTTTCGTCCGACCCGTAACGATATACGTACATTTTGGCACGTAACCCGACAAACTCTTGGATCTGTTTCCCGTCACGAGCTTCATCTTTAAAACAACCAATCCGACCTTTGTTTGTATCGTCTTTAAGTGGGTGAGCATCCGGATATACAGACAGATCCAAATGTGTTGATGCTATCGGACGCAAGAGATCGAATATGTCACAGTCCGAGGTCAGGTGTATCAGAAGTGAGTCTGTGTCTGTGTAACATAAGCGTAACTTGTCAATATGAGTACACAGCACATCATAATAGAACCTATTCATGTGTGTTTTTGCTATGTCTAGAACACACATTCCGGCATAAATTGGGGCGTTCAACAAGACAGACTTCCTTTGCATATAAACAAGCACAACGTTTGGCGCTACTATTACATGTTCGGAAAATTGAGGGTTGCGGATCAGCTTTTGAAGGAGACTGTCTTTGGTTACTATCCTGACATCACGATGGTTCCGTTTGTTCATCAACAATCTACCGTAGTTGGCATTGTTCATTAGTTTGTATATGTTCCTGTAGAAGTCGTTGGTAGAACCGGCTCTCTTTTCAGCGTTGAAATCAACAAATTTTTTCATATAAGGTGACTGTGAAAACGAGATTGCACGGTGTACTTTAGTCACAACTAAACCTAACTTCACGGCTTGTTGAAACACTGTATAGTGTGCCACGTACTTTACCTTGTCATGTAGCGTTGCCAATAGTTTTTTTTCTCTGCTACCCGGAGGGACCTCAAGTTCCGGAAGGAGAGGTAGATCCTGTAGTTTGTCGTGAACACGGTCCGGTACTGTCACATCAGCTTCCATTATATACCCTGTTGGCGCGTCCAATGGAAGTGTTGACCAATCCAACGTTTCCGGGGATTCTACAAACTTAAAGTTTCCTGTCGGTAGGTAACTGGACTGTGCGTACCCATACAAGTTCAGGGCATCCAACATTAGTAACCATGTTTTTGGTTCGTTTTCGTTGTAATCTGACGGGTTGCTAAGGTATGGGTTGTTTGCTACGGCATGCCTGAGACTGACCTGCACAAGTCCCCCCCTGATACCGGACTCGATCATTAATAACATGTCCGGATCCGTGAGAAGCTCGAGGGTGACACGGGTCATCCGAAGCATTGATTTATATGCAAGACCAGGTGCAGTGTAAACATGACAACAATCGATTTTATATGATTCCAAACATGTTTTTCTGAAGGACGTAAGAATGTCGGCAAGTAGACAAACATCGAGTTTTAAGTAAAAATTGTGGTATTCACCAAACGTTTTCATTTTTAGTTTTTCCCATACGGACCGTGCGAACTCGTAATCTTCTTCTGAACACGGTTCATTGTTCAAGCGGTCAAAAAATGCATCCCGTGACGGTAACTCGGTTTGGTCAAAGACCGCTGTGGTGGTTACAAAATCATATGGGTAAATACCTTTGCGGCGGACAAGGTCTAGGTGTTCGGGTGGGACCAATTTTGACGATTCAACAAGTTCACTCTCAGACAAGATGTTTGCCAGTTTGGCCAAGCTTGACGACATGAGTCTGAAAGAATCCAAATAACGGATCCAAATTCTGCCTACCCGTACCGATATGGCAATGTATTTGTCGTTAGTACATGGAATTACTTTTACTTCACAATCCGGAACTGTAGAAAGACTTTTTATTATAAAGTTTCCGTCATAGTTAGACATACCGTGACAATATACCGGTATAAAGTTAACAGTAGAACATCGCAAGTTGCATTTACCACAGAGAATGAGTCGGAGGTTTCCGGTCACGTGACAATGATCAATTACTTTAATACAAGTGCTGTCGTTGAACGGTCTCTCGCATAATTCGCATTCGGTAGTTGTTTCAAATCGTTCGTTTTCTTCCGCTGTTAGTGTTTTTAACGGCTCTTGTCTCGTGTACAGTTGTTCGACACGTGCGGCAAGTTGTTGCATATGGATCATAAAAGATTGAGCGGCATTGGGAGTACGGTGTAGTTCTGGTTCCGTACTAATACCTACTTCGTGCAGCTTTTCAACAGGTAGAGTGGTTTTTACAAGTGTACAGTAAGAGTTGGGTTCGTGACACTGGTACGAACGATCAGACCCCACAATCGGCACTAGCGTAGCTTCAAAATCAGCTACGACAATAATTGGGACCGGAATTTGGTATTCAAATTCCTCAAATTTCAAAAGGTTTTCCCCTTCTTTCGGGAGACGTGTGGTAGCGAGTTTGAATTTTTTACAAAGACGCAAATGATCTTCAAGCCATATTTTGGGACCCATTTTACACTTCCTAACTTCTCGGTGTGTCGAACACCGTTTGCATATGACAATTTGATTGTGGCCAGCCGCCACCTGCGGTCTGATCAACTTTGCAAAATCCGTGATGTATACGTAATGTGCGATGTTAGCACCAGCCCGGTACAACAACAAATCGATATGATCATCTTTTTCGTCAACAACACGTAAAGGGCTTATGTCACAACCCGGAGCTGTTTCGAATACGTTCACTGATGTGTTTGGGTTGTCCCTTTCGAATATGTGAATAGACGATACTGAGACCGGAAATTTAAGATTTTTAAAATCATAGTGATCTTTGATGTTTTCAAAGTGACTCTCATTTAAAACGGAGTTAACGTTTACATCGGGTAGGTGTTTTACAAGAACACTATACATAAAGCATTTTTCGTCCCTATTTTGAATATTTATGGTTGCTTTGCGTTGGCTGATCCTTTTTGGTAGGTTAGTATATGATTTCCCAGTGGGTTTCTTAAATGTAAATCTACTTACTCTTATAGTTAAGCTAGATGGATGATCCAGACTCCAGCCGCTACCTTTGCCCTCAAACTCGGACTGTTCCGCAAGCAGCTTCGCACCATCCTGCGCCAGCATGTCCTCGAGATCGTCAGAGCCCCCGTAGAGAGCCCTAGTTGTGGTTTTAAAGTTGAATTCCTCTATGATGCCTTCGTGTAGATGGTTGAAATAGGACAGCAACACCAAATTAAATTTTAGGCTATGCGTTGTCTTTAGCTCCTCACGCAGTAGTTTTTCAACCAGAGGAAGAGCCGATGCTAGGAATTCCTTTGAGTCTTTGTAGTAGTTGTCCGGGTTGTCAATCGTATAATCACGACAGCTTAGAAGACCACGTTTGAGATGGCATTTCAGATTTGGAGATGGTATACTGCTGCTGCTGCTGCTATGTTGTAAGCGTTGAGCACTGTTGTTGTATTTTGAACTGCTACTGCGTTGAAGACTGCTATTCCGTTGTGAACTGCTGCGTTGTGGACTGCGCTGTGAACTGCTACTGCGTTGAAGACTGCTACTGCGTTGTGGACTGCTACTGCGTTGTAGACTGCTACTGCGCTGTAGACTGCTGCGTTGTAGACTGCTGCGTTGTGGACTGCTGCTGCTGCTGCTGCTGCTGCTGCTACGACTCCTTACTCCTTTTGATTGTTTGGCCGGAGGTGGATTGCCAGGGCTGCGTCGTCGTTGTCGTCGTAATTTTCGGAATCGGCTTGTGTACCCTTTGGTAGCAAGACACATTTGCTGGTGCCTCGCTAAGGATTCCTCTGTTAAGAAGTATGCCTCATGGCATATGGTGCACTCTAAAAAATCCATGTGTCGCTTGACACTCTGCGGATCGTTGTGTGCCGATCCACAGAACTGCTCGGCTCTTTTATGCTCGGTGGTTAGGGTGGACCGACCTTGTGATTAGACATCCATGACATACTTACATCACCTACTGACCTCGTTCTAGATTCTCAATCCTCGACCTACTGACATCAACCAGTCAGTCCTCGACCTACTGGCCGGGATCAGTCCTCGACCTACTGACCACAATCAGTCCTCGACCTACTTACCTCAATCAGTCCTCAACCTACTGACCAAGATCTAGATTTTCAGTCCTCGGCCATGTCCTAAATTTTATTCAGATCAGTGGGTCGCCCCACCCCGGAATAGGGAGGGGGGTCTCAACTGCGGGTTTATAAGACTATCGGTTCAAGCTACGAAAGCACAGTTTGCTTAGCACACACATCCGCTGCACACCTTCTTGGTAAGTGCTACTGATTTATCTTTTTACACCTACTCACAACTTTTTACACTTTGACAATACTTTACACTCTGCTCACAGACGTACACACTTACTTATTGACAGGATAAGAAATAACAAGAGCTATTGGTTTGGGTTTTTTTAATTAAAAAGATCAAATAAAAAATCGTCCTCTAACGACACATAGCCAGATGAACTACTAGCTGAAGCTTCAGCTAATAGTCCATCTAGACTATCTTCGTCAGAGGAAATATTAATAATTTCTGGTGGCGGCGGGGTTTGCCGCGACGGCTGCGGCGTGAGTGGTTGAGGTGTCAGCGGGGTATACCGCGACGGCTGCGGCGTGAGTGGTAGAGGCGGCGGTGGCGGCGGGGTGTACCATGATGTCGACGGCTGTGGCGTGAGTGGTAGAGGCGGCGGTGGCGGCGGGGTGTACCATGTTGTCGACGGCTACGGCGTGAGTGGTTGAGGTGTCAGCGGGGTATACCGCGACGGCTGCGGCGTGAGTGGTAGAGGCGGCGGTGGCGGCGGGGTGTACCATGATGTCGACGGCTGTGGCGACAGTGGAGCTGGTGGATAGAGCAGCATCGGCGACAGCGGTGGATCTGACCCCAGCGGTGACGGCGCGGTTGCTGCAAGCGGCAGCGGTGCCGGCGGAGACGTAAATCTCCGACGGACAGCTGGAATGCCACTTACAACCGCTGTTTTTCTCTTTTTGCAGAGTTGCACCTCATATCTCTGCGTTGTCTCGCAGCGCATTACTGCCGCCATCAAACCCGCTGAAATATATAAATATGTTTATACAACTGACTGGCTATACAGGGTGATCAACTCAAGGAGGCCACCATTGGGATATCGAAAACGGTAAGAATTAGAGAAAACTTTAAATGGGGGACATTCCTTTATTTTTTGTGGCAGTTAAAAATATGATTTTATTTTTTTTAAATTCAGCCGCCATTTTCCAAAATGGCGGCCAACTTTGAAATTTCTTATCATGTTTTCGGATAGAACAGGCAATTTAAAAACCTTTTAATTCTTGACATTTTTTCGATAAACCCACTCGTTTAGGAGTTACAGCCTATGGAAAAATGACTTCCGGTTTACATTTTACATCATGTAGCTCCCAAACAAGTAGGTTTATGGCGAAAATGCGATGAGTAAATAAGTCAAAGAAGTCTTAATATTGCATCCACATTCCATAAAGACCATAAAATACACAGTTTTCCACTTTTCAAGTTTGCCGCCATTTTGGAAAATGGCCGCCATTTTTAAAATAATATATTTAATGGTTTTAACGAATTTTATGATCTTTTTGGAACGTGGATGCAATTTTAAGACTTCTTTGACTTATTTACTTTTCGAATTTTAGCTATAAACCTACTTGTTTAGGAGCTGCATGATGTAAAATGTACACCGGAAGTCATTTTTCCATAGGCTGTAACTCCTAAACGAGTGGGTTTATCGAAAAAATGTCAAGAATAAAAAAGTTTTTAAATTGCCTGTTCTATCCGAAAACATGATAAAATATAGGGTGTTCCATAAGAAATTTCAATGTTTGCCGCCATTTTGGAAAATGGCGGCTGAATTTCAAAAAAATAAAATCATATTTTTAACTGCCACAAAAAATAAAGGAATGTCCCCCATTTAAAGTTTTCTCTAATTCTTACCGTTTTCGATATCCCAATGGTGGCCTCCTTGAGTTGATCACCCTGTATAGACACTGTTGCACTTGACTAGTGTATATTTTTAAGTTGTCGTGACACTTGATAAGTTTAGTAGTTTGTAACCACACTCTCCATAAGCTTTTAGTCACTCACTCATAAACCGTACACTTGAAATTAATTGTTATAACAAGAAACCTTGCACAAAACAGTCCATTGTTTCATACCCTTGTGTTTATGCAAGTGTTGTATTTCTAAGTGTGGTTTTATTTCCTATAATTTCCATACTACAGTACTCGTTTATACATAGAGATTCATATATTTATTGTATTAGCACTATCAACTAATAACGTTCCGTTAAAACCCGTTTTATCGAAAGTTTAGTAAAGATATATTTGTTTTATCGACGTATTATAAACAAATACGTTTAAAGATATATTTGTTTTATCGACAACGTGTTATAAACAAATACGTTTCAGATTGCCTTTGTATACGTGAACCATACTCCTAACAAATGTTACTTTAGAGACACTCGTAGATTGATTATATTAGTCAACGTGATCCAATAATTTCATTATTTGCATTCAATACACAAACATATTTTTAGTAATATATTTTGACATACAAAGTGGTGTACGTTTTGGACATTAAACATGTGTACATAAACCTGCTAACAATTATACAAACTTTAAAGGGACTCGTGTATTTATTATCAACATTTGATTTTATAGATCCCTATATTATTCGTTAAAGTGAATACTGACTTTTTAGTTAGGATCAAATTTGTTTAATCAACATAGTATAATACTCTTTAAAATCTATATTTGTTTTACATAAGTCTAACAGTTGTTCGTACAAGTTATACATAATGTATTTTACTACCATATGCTGGCAGACGATTATCTTGACTATACAGTAGTTATGTTCTCTACTTGAACAAGTACAATTTGTAAACACAACTACTTTACTACTTGTGTATAACTTTACAATATATCACATTAGACGATCCAACTGACCATCACAAAGTATTACCCATTACCCTAAATTATATAAACCCAGTCTGTAATCAACTAACTCTATTATGGTTTTTATTTACAGTACAATGTCAGACTTCAAGTCAAAATTGAACAATTTGGAAGTAAGCAGAGGTCCGCCGAGGGCAGCTATATCAGATTTGATCGATCTAGCTGGTTATCCAATCACTGGTGCGAGGCTACATTCTCACCGGGAGTACGGCACGAGTGTGATTCTAGACATAATATTTGACAGGACGCCACACATTGTGTTTCTACCGAAACGCTTCGCTTTGAACCTAACTCAAGCTGAGATAGACACAATAGCAGCTGGCGGGTACAAAGTTAAATGTACCGGTAAGACCGGAAGGTCCCCTAATGTTCAGATTTTTCAATAAATACTCTAAATCATGATTTTGTTTATTTACTAACCTGGAGTATAATTGGAGACCACCTCGGTGATCTCGTACGATCTAGACTCCTTCACCGTGTAGCGGGCTCGTATATATCTCAACGCTGCCATCGCCTCCTCCTCGTTATCAAACTTGAGTGCCGCAAACCTCGACATAATGTGACTGACTGCATATTCTTCTCTACATGCATTTATACCCAATCCACACTAAGGGGTTTACCCTGACTTCGCAATTTGGTCACCTAATTTTACCTGGTTGCATTAAGTGCAGTCGGTCACCTACATATTGCAATATACACCTTGTGGCCCAGTGCACTCGGTCACAGAGACAAGGACGACCACATGTCGCCCAGACACTGCGCCAGACAAGGTCGCCAGCGTACACCGTACAAGTCGCCGTTTCATACTCAGCCACTGCATGTACAAAAGTAGTGTAAGTAGTAGTTAAGATGGAGGATTATATATCTACTACTGTAAGCCTCGAGTTTGCCGCCTGGTAAGATATGACATTTTAATTAAATTATATTTTATATGTAAACAAAATTATTTTGGAACCACTTTACTTTTTGTATTTTTAAACCAATTTAATTAAAACAATAATTGGTTTTATTCAATATCTCATATAATGTTTTAGGAAGTATAATCACATATAATAGCCTACCTGAAGTAGTAGAGGAAGGCCTAGAAATTCACTCATTGTTTGATGATACACCATCCTCAATCCATTCATCACTAATTTGAAAATAAAATTCATCATTATTACTAGGTCTACTTTCATTGTCTTATATACACCCCCTGAAACTTTATTTGGTTTAGTTGGTAAATTACCAAGTTAAAGAGTAATTTTAGGTTAGTACATTTCTTAAAATGGAGTGACTATAAACTAGATTTTTGAAGTATTTATTGTTAAATTTGTGTTTTGTAATGGTCCAAAGTTGTTGAACTCTTGTATTGTAATGTTCTGAAAGAAAATCTTCTTATATTCAACTGTCTCAATGTTGCTGAGACTGATTACCTCAGCTATGTTTACACAGTCACATACACCGAGCCGTGACTACTTTCCACTAATAAATATCACGACTCATAATCAACTGTCAAATTTTTGGATAGTGGGTTAGTTTGTGTTCCAACGACCCTTAATGAGTTAATGAGGTTGTGTGTCATGTTTTACTTACTCCCACTGCCAATGATTAGAGGTTTTCTTATGTGTGTTGTGGGACTGTTGTAATAAAGTATTGTTTTGGCATAATTTTACATCCTATCTTAATTTTGCAAAATGTTTCTACGTTCTTTGCCGTTTTTATAATCCTTGAGAATATATTACTGACTATGCAATGAGTGCCCAGTGTGCTTGATGGGCAAGTTTGTAAGATTTTGAAACTTAGGTTAGAGTACATGTTTGCACTGGGTTACAAACCTAAGTTGTTGGACAGTTTTAATGGTTTAGTTTCCCAGTTTCTCGGTTGTTTTGTGGAATTTAG